GTGTGTGTGTGTGTGTGTGTGTGTGTGTGTGTGTGTGTGTAGGGGCTGAAGAAGGGAGACAGACTGAGGTTGCAAGAGCGTGCCTCTGAGGGATAAATCCAGAAAAATTGAATGCAGTGAAGCTCAGGCTAAATCTACTCTTAAATATCTGTCCACAAAGAGCAATTCACACTGAAAGAAAAGCAAACATAAAGGTAGCTTTGATTAGTTCACTCTGTGAAGATGGGCAACTTTGCTAAAGAATCTGCTTCACCAAATCTTTTTTTCCCCCTCCCTTACCACTTCTTGACTGAATTGTTGATGTTTTACTGAAGAGTGGAATCTCATTTCTGGACCTGGTTGAACAGCTGTTTCTGTGTTCTTTCTAATTTCAGTAAGGCAAGTTTCCAAAAAAAAAAAAGAGCTTGGTTTGCATTCCTAGGTTAGTCACTGAATTGCATAGTTTGTACAACAGAGAAAAGCTCTGGGACATAGAAGAAGTCACTTCCCCAACTTTGGGCTCAGCTTCTCCAAGCATATATGAAGCATCTGGACCCCAGGATTTCCAATGTTGTTTCCATCCTGTTCATCATATGATTGGATGAAAAGGAAGTATTTTGATTTCTTTGTTGGGCCTTATTAGTAAAAACTGCACTTACTGCTCTCAAAAACTCTTTCTCAGCCCTGCAAGTGGCCATTAAACCCTGCCTGGACCAGGTATTCAGAACAGATCATGAAGGTGCATTTCTTGAGAACAAGGTGATTCAGATCTCCCATCTTTGAACATCTACTCGTGTTTATTTCATTGTACAATTTTTTCTTACTTTATTTTCCCAAGAGTGGGGGAAAAGGAAGGGAAGAAGAATTGTTCATAGTGGGAGCCAGCATTTCTAAGGACAATATTTTGTCATTGCTACTCAGTGTCCCATCCCAGGAAGGCATGGTCTAGCCCAGGGGTTCTTAACCAGGGATGCGCATCAAAATCATCTGTGACAATTTTTCGGTGCACATGCCTGTGACTCCACTTCTTAATATTTTGAACCAGTGATTTTGGAGAAGGGCCTGAATCTGTGGAAAGATCTACAGGTATGCTGCCGCACATGACCAGTTCTGAACTGCTGGTTTGATCCAAACCCTTTCCTCTTTCCCATTGAACCATCCCCAGGTCCTTTAGACCCGTGATGCTAAAACACCGTGTATTACAAGTATACTTCACATTAATGGAAATGTATCTGCAATCAAAAGGGACAATTCTTCTTTTTCCAGAGTTACGTATTAGGAGTTTTAATTGGTTGAAAGAAAAAAAAATTTAAGTAACGAATAAAATTTTACCTAAAATGGCAAAATGCCATTCTAAATGCAGTTAGTGTTTCTGAAACTAGGAATAATGTTTTCCTACGGAGCTCATGTACTCTAAACAACAACAGAACTTTGTAGGGCATTTGCAGTAGATGGAGAGCAGTATTTAGTATCAGTGTTCCTTTGTTAAATGACTCAGGCACATTCTGGAATTACAGCACTGAAATAACAAGAGGATTGAACCCATCAACCCTCCTGGAGGGTTTATGTAAGGAAATCGTATTTGCTTGCTGAACTGTAAATTAAACAGGCTCTAGCCTTCCACTCCTTCAGACTTGCATCTCTGTAGCTGCATGTGGAATGTGTTCTCATTGGCTCCAGTAAAGAGCATCCAAGGAGAGAAAAGGAGGAACCATTACTCAAGACAGAGAAAAACAAAGAACTTCTTGCTTCCCCTAGAAGTCCAGCAGTGGAATAAGCAGATATTTTGGAGTCAAACAGAACTGGTCCGAACCCCAGCTCCCAACCCGTGCCACGACTAGTCTATGTATATAACTCCTTGCTCCTTCACCTGTGGGATTCAGTAGTCTTAGCTGCACAATGGTGAGTCACACTCAGGTGACAGGGTGGCTGTGAGGCTCAGAGTAAAGAGGTTGTATGCAAAGTGCTTGGCACCCATAGGCACCCTCAACTGGTTCCTGGCATCATCATGATTATTTTCTCAGAAAGAAAATTGGTGCAAATAAGCAAGGATATACTTTCTCTTATAATTTCCTCTTAAAGAGAGGAATTCAAAAGGAATGAAAATAAATTTTGAAAGCTCTGATTCGCTTGTTGGTAACCAGGGATGCCAACTCTGAAGTGGCTGCTTCTCTACAGATGAAGCACAAAACATGTACAAATACTAAGGTATATGTGACATTCTCAAGGGAATGAAAAAAAAAAAAACCCTTACACTTCCTTTGAGCTGTGTGTTAGCTGTGATTTGATAGCTCTGCTTGAAATCTAGTGAAAACTCAAACTCCCTGGAGTTTTGGCACAATCTTTTTCAATATGAGGGAAGTGGATTCAAATAGGATATGCAGTATTTACAAGATTTCAGATTCTTATAGAACCTAAGATTAGTAAGTACAAAGCAGGTGGCTGTAAATGGTATCTTAGTTGTTAAGAGAGAAAGGGAGAAGAAAACTGAGCCCTTAAAAAAATTAACCTGTTAAAGTCCTGAATTTGCTTGGGGCAAATTCTTTTAGCAGCCTGAGTGTCCAGGGAAGTGGAAGCAGAAAGGAA